TCCTAAGCCAATCAAGTGGACACCCACCCTATGACTTCTCGTTTTCACAAAAGTAAAAGTGAGAATACAGAGCATGGACAAGATGGAGAATGTGAAGAACCTGTTAAATGGCAATCTCCCAAAAAGACCATTTTGAAAAGTGAAAGTGTCTTCAGTTCCAAGTAGAGCACTTTGAAAGGGACTAAGGTACCAGTGCCCTAGGTAGGCATTTTTTTTTTTTTTGACAATATTAAATGGCTGGATGCTTCATCAGACAGACTTTATATTTTTGTCATCTTTGCCAATTATTTCCAGTCAAAGAAAAAAGAAAAAGAAAAGGGCAAACTTGTAAAAGCTTTAGGACCTCACCCTGCAAACCATGATTCAATTATTTTCTTGAAATGCTAGCTTCTAATTTTAGGAAGAAATAATTAAATTTCGCATCACAAAAGTAAAAATATCAAATCAGGTGAACACATGAAATTAATAAAGAATTTTAATAATTCAACAACAAAAAAAAAAGTTCATAAATTTCATTTAACAATGAAGTGGTTAAGAATGAAATTAAAAATATTCAAATTCCTTACATTTAATATTTCTTTTATTTTAACTAATTCAGTTCCTGTCACTTCACTGATGGCAAGATGATCAAATTTCAAAACTAAATTGTCTATCTAAAATAATACATTTATTAGAAAAATGTAATCAGTTTAAATAATGACATAATTTATTTGAACTGGCATTTATGATACACTTATTTTTTATTTTTTTAATCAATTCACCACAACCAAGGTGATAATGCCACTAAGATGCAAGTGGTAACTGGTAGTGAAAGAGAATGAAAAAAAAAACTTTACAAGGAACTGGAAACCCAATCCTAAACAGGAAACAAGAGATAAACCTCTACTCCTATTAAAAAAAAACAGAGAGGAGTGTGAACTAAATGATAGGCAAATGTATCTACTCCTGTTGAAGAAAAAATAAATAACTAAATAGTAAATAATTTTTCAGTGTTCAGATGATGATGTTAGAAGTATAGAGTTGAAGAAAACTTTAAAAGGTACCAGAAACCCAATCTTAAACAGGAAGAAAGGTATAAACATCTATTCTCATTGGTGAATGTTCCTTTGCTAATAGAAAGATGATCCAATTTCAAATCTGAATCATTTGCCTATCTATATAATAAATGCAAATGTCAGTGTGTCACCAAGTCACACTTTTTCAACTTTACTCCTAGAGGCTTGTAGCCCAACATATCATACCATTTTGGAATCAGGCCAACTCCGTGAACAAATTAAAAACATTCCAGGCCAGATCTGGACCCGCTATCTTGAAATTTTGGATTCCAAAGTTTTCATTACTGTGATTGTTTTTTGGCAATTTTTTTTTTTTTTATGTGATTTTTTTGCACAATAACAATTTCTACAACTTGGAAATAAATTTGGGAATAATTGAAATTAATTACAAAATCCTATTGAAATAATTGTTTGTCAATAAGGACCTATGTACATCAAATTGTCTTTAAATTAAGTAACAACAGAAGAATTAGGACGGCTTTTAAGCTAGTTTAAAATAATGCATTTATGAGAAAAATATGTTCAATTTAAATAAAGATGTCATTTATTTGAACAAGCATTTATGATACACTGCTCTCACTCTTTCTAGTACTGGTGGAAGTTTCCTTCCTAGCCTTTTGTTTAAGGTAATGTGGAATACTAACATCTTGATTATGTAATTATGTACTCATCTTGCTTTCAGATTATGTAGTTCTTGCTATTTGGTAACGCTCTTTATGATGTCATGGTGCCAGTCTTAATGAGCCTGTCGAAGGATTCGCCTTCTCTATGAACCACAGGATTTACTATTTACACTATTTACATTGTTCAGAATGTTGAACTCATCTTTGTTGCCATATTCACAACATTTTAGCTGTTGTACACTCTGGCCTTCTTCAGGAGGATTGAAATTTCAAACTGAGCCTTTTATTTCATCCATGGGAGTAGATTGTTCTAGTTCAGAATAGCAATCACCTGAAGAAGACCGGAGCATACAACAGCCAAATCGTTGTGAATATTGCAACAAAGATAAGGACAACAATCCGAACTAATGAATTAGTAGCCATGGTCAAATGCAAAAGAAATAATAGAACTGAAGAACAAAAAGAATTAACAAAGTTTGCAATAAAAAGAAAAAAGGGGCAAAAATGAAATAATATCAAGTAAGCAAACAATATATTCAAAAGCAAATTCATGAGTAAGACGGCAAAAAGTTTACAAACTATGAATTGGTATCTCTGCACAAAAGCAAGGTCAGATAAGCAAATGCAGTGGTCTGTCTTTGAGATAAGGCAGATCTTAAATGAATGAAGTCAAATTGTAAACCGACCTATTTTATTAGCTAAGAAAAATATCCCAGCATGCATCTTCAGACTTCGGCATTATTACACTTATATTATTATTATTATTGAAATTAATAAGATAGCAACTCAAATATGTCTATCCACTAAAAATAAGTTATAAAGAAATTGTGTCAGATAAAAAGATCCTGATGAGTTAGTAGCTATGGTCAAATGCAAAAATAAATAACAGAACAGTTCAACAAACAAAATTGACAAAGTTTGCAATAAAAAGAAAAAGGGGTAAAAATGAAATAATATCAAGCAAGCAAACAATATATTCAAAACAAATTCACAGGTAAGAAGGCAAAAAGTTTACAAACTATGAATTAATGTCTACATGCAAAAGCAAGGTCAGACAAGCAAATGCGGTGGTCTGTCTTCTAAACAAGGCAAGTCTGGACTGAGGTTATTTACCTTAGTTTCACCACAAGGCAGGATGCAGTACAATTTTTTTTTTTTTTTTTTATGTGGGCCGAGTGGGCCAATTTCAAGCTCATAGGCTCGGCCCAAAATTTCCCCGTAGATCCCACGTACACAGGGTTGGGTTTGTCTACCTCCCCAGATGTCACTGTCCTTTGGCATAGGTTCCTCTACCTTCAGGCAAAGAGTTTGACAAGCCACCCATGAGCGTGGCATCGAACTGTCCAACTCGACAGGTTTGTACTGAGTCAAGTCATATAGTGAACTGACCTATTTTATTGGTTAAGAAGAATAACATCCCAGAAAATATTTGTTGACTTTTGCTTATAAAAAGGGGAGAGGGGAAAAGTTTTGCAATCATTCCCAGTGACGATTGAAATCAACACAAACAATGTAAATAGCGTAAATAATTACAATACCCCATCTCGGAAATATAGACAGATCCTGAAGAAGGACGGAGCATACAAGGCTGAGACATCATGAATATGGCAATAAAGATGAGGACAACAGTCCAAACAATGTAAATTGTGTAAATAATTACAATAACTCATCTCAGAAATATAGACAGATCCAGGGTTCACATTGAAGCTGTTTTTAATCATTAATCTGAGAAAATGTATGTAGATGATTTTTTTTAGATATTTTTGAACAATTTGAATGTTATGCATGACATCCATATGAAAGTCTAGATCTGACTAGTGTTCTTGTGTTTAATAGTTTGGTTTTATTGTGTCATACAATGTTGGACAAATTTACTCCTAGAACAACTTGTCCTCTGTTGAATTTTCTTGTCCATACTAAATTTGTTATAACTGTATTTAAGGTGTTTAAAACATTCTGAATTTTTATAATGAATTTGGGGTCTGTGCAATCACTGCTTTCATTCAAATTCCATATCATCGCAGTCGATTGTTTATGCCTAGTAGTAGTAGTAGATATAATAATCTTAAAGTAGTACAAATTTTTTAGATGATGATTTTTTTAAATGATGAATTTTTAACTATTTTTTCTCTTCTTTATATTTTTGTTGCCTTTTGTGGCAATGCTCACATTTTTTTTATTCTAAAACCATTAATCAAGGAGCATGAATTGGAAATAAAGAATCACCTATTGGTGACATTTAAGCACGCTTTCCATATTTTGAGGTGCCTATCTGACATGGACATTGTCTTACCAATTAGACTACTAAGAGTTACTGGTACACAATTCAGTCTTATAGCGTCATTCTTTGTTATTTCATTTTTTCCATGCCTGTTTACACCTAGTAGTAGTAGTAGTAGATATAATAGTCTTAAGTTATTCAAATTTCTTATATGAGGCATTTTTTCTTTTCATAATATTTTTGTGCCTTTTATAGTAATACTCAGGTTACTTTACATTCACCTGACCATTAATCAGAAGCATCACGGATAAAAAAATAAAGTAACCTCTGATTAGAGAAATGAATTCACATCCCGTGCTATTGGGAATCTGTCTGATAGACATAATGCTTTTACCAATTGCACGATAGAAACCAGCCAAGTGAAGTTAAATTAAATCATTGTCTTGATTTCTCAGCCAAAGAACAGAACGGCTAATAGCATTGGAATGAGAACAAAGGGAAATTTAATAATACTAATAATAACAATCTATTTGGTTACCAAATGAAATTGTATACAGGAATCCCTCAATTAATGCACATTCGATTAATGCATTTTTGATTAGTGCACTAAAATTTTTTACACCAAAATTTGATTAGTGCATGCATAATACTCGATTAGTGCAGTAAAACATTCTTCAGTTTTACCATAGTGATTGAAAATTGATTTTTTTACAGTTAACGAATAATTAAAAATTTTCTAAAATTAAAAATGGAAAAAAAGTAACTATTTTGTTTGTCATCTAAGTAATTACAGTTTGGTTTGTTTTATAGCATATCAACACCTCAATGGGTTATTTCATGCTGACAAGATTTTTATTGCTGGTAATATTTTTTTCCTTCAAAAATGTATTGCTGGTATTAAAATCTATTTTTACACTTTCATGTTTTGACCCCAGTTTGGTTGGGGTCAACTATTTGCCCATAGCTGGGACCCTAACAGGCGCTATCACCCAGGGTCAGGATGGACCTGGAAACACCAGCAATTAAGAGGTGGTTCCATATTCCTCAAAAGGATGTAGTTTATCGTCTTTCCCAGGACGTGGATGTAGTTTATCATCATACTCAGGACGAAAGTAATTACAGTAATGTTCCAAAATGAATGAACAGTGATAGAGAGAGACAAGGATAGAGAGAGACAAGGATAGAGAGAGACAAGGATAGAGAGAGACAAGGATAGAGAGAGACAAGGATAGAGAGAGACAAGGATAGAGAGAGACAAGGATAGATAGATAGATAGATAGATAGATAGATAGATAGATAGATAGATAGATAGATAGATAGATAGATAGATAGATAGATAGATAGATAGATAGATAGATAGATAGATTTTATAATATAAGCCGATAATAAAAACATGCATTTGAATATTTGCCTCTTAAAATTTTTTGAATATTTTGATATTTTTTTCATGTTTATTTTGAAGGTCTTAAAAAGGTAATTTCTGATTTTTTGTTCAAATGGGCATTAGATTTATATTTATCAAAAAATATCGAAATATAAAATATGTATGCATTTACTATGGAAAGATTATAAATAAAATTTTCAGGTTAAAATACTAACGATTATGATCTGTTTGTAAAATTTCCAAAAATAGAAACTACACATAAGGTTCTTTTTTAAAAAGTTAAATTGAATATTTTTTGTTTTAGATTTTAATATATACCTACCAGTCAGCATAAGATGACAAAGAAGGAATTAGAAGAATTTTTTAGAGTCATTGAAGAATTTATATGAAAATGTTTAGAAACAGACCCTGATGAGGACAGAAGCCAACAAATTTGCAGAAAATTTGAAGGAGCAATTTCTCAGTACCACCTGTAATGATATGTAAATGAGGTACTATATAAAAGGCAGTATTGCTATACCTACAAGAGAGTTATCTTCTCTTGACAAGACTACATCTGTCAGAGAGAATGCCTATCATAACAATATGCCAATTGATTACATAACCACAATGGAGGATATAGAGTATGTGGAAACCTGGCTTAGGGGTTTCACAGTGTCAACAAGAGTAAAAAAGTTAAAGGACACCAAAGCTAGTGGAGGAGAAAATGAAGTTACGGATTTGTTTTTGGCCTCAGCAGGGTGTGAAGACATAAAAATAAAATCTTCATCATGGTCTATCCCAAAGTATTGAAAGATTTAGCATATGAAAAAACTGTTGCCATAATTCAAGCAAATATATGACAAATAAAAAAGAAGATTGGTCATAGTGGAAAGAACTAAATTTCTTTAAAATAGACAGAGACCGGACAAAACTATTATGCAATATGTACAGCAATTGAAAGAAGTGTTGAGATATTGTGAATTTCAAAGAATGAGTTTGGAACAAATGTCTATCGAAGGCAAGTTAATTTTGCTAAGACTGATTGAAGGAATATTTGACATCTCATACTAGCGTAAAATTCTAGATCAGCTTCAAGCACATAATATTAATCTGGAAGCAGGTGTGGAGTTCTTACAACAATTGGAATTGATTCAAAAATTTAATGCCGCTGAAGGCAATATGGAGACTTACAATGCTACTAAAAGCTAGCTTATATGCAGATATTGCAATATGGAACATGAAAAGAGCAAAAATAAGTGTCCGGCCTTTGGGAAATGGTGTTCTAAGTGTAAAAAGTAGAATCATTTCCAGACGGTATACACATATGAAAAGCATGTAGAAAATATAGATCCTCTGATTAAAACTACGGAAGTATTTGAGATAAAAATAGGGAAATGGTAAAGTTGAACTTAGTAACTTTACTCATACAGGTGGATACTGGATGCGATGCTATGTCGATACTGAAGAATTTTTGGGAAAGAATGGGTAGACCAATGTCAAAGAAAAGTAATCTCCAGTTGAAACAGTCCAATGGGTCAATCAAAATCTTAGGATTCTTTAAAGGCACATTCAAGACAAAATAGATTCAAGATAATATCCATCATAGTAGTGGAAAAAAATCAAAAGCCACGGTCTTTTAGGAATTCACGTGTTAAGAGTGGATACATCATGGCTGGTAAATTCCATAAAGTCTGTAGAACCGGACGTTGGATTATTAATTGGATATGAGGTGAATATTTGACTTAAAGAAAGCAGTGAGCCAATATATTTTCAAGCCTGAAAAATTCCTGTTAACATGCTACCTTTGGTGGTTGATAAGCAGAACATAATGGTGGAACATGGAATATTAGAAACAGTCAGCCAGGGTGGTAGTAATTGGGCTTCACCCATTGTGGCAATATACAATCCCAATGGAGATTTAAGAATTTGTGGGGATTATTATGGTGGGTGTGAATCACCAGATCTGTTCAGATTCATTTCCATTGCCAAACATTGAAACAGCATGTTATGTGTTTGCTGGCATGAAATACTTTGCTAAAGTTAACCTTACATCAGCATATAATCTGATAATAAAAATTGATAACAAGCTTTAAGTCACCACAATGAACACTCCTATTGGATTAAATTGTATATCAGGACAATATTGGCGTTGGTGCACGCTGTTAAAAAGAGCTCAAAAGTAAAATGGAGCAAGTTTTGAGAAAATTAAATCATGCAGGAATGATAATTAATTGTGATAAATGCGAGTTTAATTCTGAAAAAAAATTTTGTACAAAGGATATCAAATATCCAAAGATGGTATACCGCCGAATGATAAACTCATTAATAAGATATCAGAGATAGCTGCACCCAGAAATAAAAAAAGAGTTAGAATCTTTTTTAGAATTAACCAATTTCTACAACATATCTATCATGATATAGTGACCATGTGGAACCATTTAACAAAATAAGGAAGAAGAATACATAGTTTCAATGGACAAAATGACAAGGGGTTGCTTTCGAGAAATTAAAAAAGGCACTCATAAAAAAATCAGTTGTTAAAATTTTCAAGCCAGCAAAAGAGTTGACATTAATTACCGATGCCAGTGACTATGCTATTACTGCAATATTGTCATAGAAGGATCACACTCTAATGTACTTATCCAGAAAACTAACATCAGCAGAGGCGAATTATTCAAATAACGAGAAGGAGGCATTGGCGATTGTGTAGAGCACAGAAAGAGCTAGAAATTTTTGCAGGGAAGAAAATTCCTATTAAAATGTGATCATAAGCCTTTGAAATTTATATTCAACCCCAAAAGAAAGTTGCCACAGGTCACATCTGCCAGGTTATTAAGATATGGTGATTAAGCTTATGGTGTTTCACATTGTATATATTAAAGGAAATACTATTCCACACGTGGATGCATTATCTCAGTTAAATTTTGGGAGTAAAAATGTTGAAGAAAGTGAATGACAATGAAAAAACTTTAGAAGGAACCAGACAAAATCCTAAACAGGAAACCTCTACTCCTATTCAAAAGACCAGTGAGGAATGAAGAACAGGGAGGACTGAACCGGAGAATAGGCAAACACATCATATTGTACTGAGGATAAAAAAATATAGTAAATAAAGACTGTGAAGGAGTGTGAACTGGGCGATAGGCAAACCTATCTACTACTTTCTTGTTTTAAGACTCAGCAACCAACGAGACTACTATGAATGAAAGAGAATGAAAAAACCCAATCCTAAACAGGAAACAAAGGATAAACCTCTACTCCTGTTCAAAAGATTGTGAAGGAGTGTGAACCGAACGATAGGCAAACCTATCTACTACTTTCTTGTTTTAAAAATCAGCAACCAAAGAGACTACTATGAGTGAAAGAGAATGGAAAAACCCAATCCTAAACAGGAAACAAAGGATAAACCTCTACTCTTGTTGTATTTTGTCAAAGATACTTTTGCAATTAAGAAGTACTTTCAAAAGGTATTGTAGATAAAAGAATGGAATATAAATAAATAAATTTTTATATATCAAGAACAATTTTAGGAAAATTTAAAGTGGAAAACATTTTTTATGTGACATTTCATCCTTTCGAAATCTATCGGACAAAACTGATGTTAACATTGATGTGATTACACATGTGCATGAAGAAGTGGAGATGCTAAAAGGTTCTACTAGCCAAAACGTGCCATACACAAATGAAGCTAGATATGTGGAGGGAACTGGCCAGAAACTCTACACTCACACCTGGCCATGGGACTGATGATGATGCAATTTACACCTGCTATAATTTCATTTATGGTTGCACACTAGCCTTAGAGCAAGAACCTTTGCTCTAAGACTGGAGCCAAACATTCTTCTTAATAGACAGCTTGAGCTCTTTTGGCGTCATAAGCTCAAGGCTTTCCATTCAAAGATTACTCATGCCACAAAGTGAAAAGAAAATGAGCCCCCAGTATGTCTATTCTTGGCTGCCCGCTAATTATTTTCATCCAATCAAAATTACAATAGCCATTGGCCTGGGCAAGAAACAGTTATAAGAGTAATCAGTCTGCCGTAAAGAATTTATAGCAAAAGAAAACAAGGTATCAGTTAAAATTAGGTAAATAGATAGTTTTACCGTGTCGGCATTTGGCATTTTACAAACATGCAAATGTACTAATGGCTAAATTAAAGATCTTGAAGTACCTATTTTCTGTGAGGGAATGTCAACTCTTTCATGCATTGTGAGTAAGAGAAAAAAATTCTTGGGGAGATAACTAAAGAAATTTTAGTTATTTTTAATTAAATGATAAAGACAAAGTTGGAATTTTCTTTTTTTTTTTTTTTTTTTTTTTTACATCAAAGTTCACCCTTTACAAGGCCTGACGGACACTTGAGGTAGAGGGTTATGTATCGTGGCCATTTGTGTGTATAGGAGTGGAAGATAATGGTTAACCCGAGCCTTGAACAGGGTAAGATTGTAGTGATGGAGGAAACATCCAGTTGGGAGTCAGTTCCACAGGGCAGTGGTTTGCAGGAAGAAGCTGCTCAAGTGGAACCTACTTATCACTGGTGAAATAGAGAGGGAATTTGGATGGTTTGCTATTATGTAAGTGACATGGCGTGTTTTTATTGAGAAAGTTTGCCTCAGCGGAACCAAGGATAGTCTTTCTTTCTTTTCCTATCCTTTCCGACAAATGTTTATTTTTTTATATTTTTCATTCCTCTCTTCTTTAACTCTTTTCTCCTCTCCCCTTTTCTCCTCCTCTTGTCTTCTTACCTGTTATTTTTTTTTCTCCAACTCTTTTGGCCTCTTCCATCTTTCCTTACTTTCACTCTTTTTTACTCTTTCCAATCTTTTCTTTCCGTCTCCCTTTTGTTACTCTTTCCAATCTTTTCTTTCCGTCTCCCTTTTGTTACTCTTTCCAATCTTTTCTTTCCGTCTCCCTTTTGTTACTCTTTCCAATCTTTTCTTTCCGTCTCCCTTTTGTTACTCTTTCCAATCTTTTCTTTTTCCGTCTCCTTTTGTTACTTTTTCCAATCTTTTTTTTTCCGTCTCCCTTTTGTTACTCTTTTCCAATCTTTTCTTTCCGTCTCCCTTTGTTACTCTTTCCAATCTTTTCTTTCCGTCTCCCTTTTGTTACTCTTTCCAATCTTTTCTTTCCGTCTCCCTTTTGTTACTCTTTCCAATCTTTTCTTTCTCTTAACCTTCTTCCTGCCTTCTTTTCTTCCTCTCTTTTTATTCTTTTTACCATTTTTCTTTTTTTTTTCTTCCTCTCTTTTTACTTCATCCACTTCCTTTCTTTCTTCTTCCTGCTTTCTTTCCTCTCTTTTTACTTCTTCAGCTTTTCTTTTTTCTTCTAGCCTTCTTTCTTCTTCCTATCGTCCTCTATGCCTTTCCGCTCCTTTTCCTCCATTTCTTAAACCTAGCCCATTTAACTATTTGGAACATTATATTTTTGTTGCAGTATAATAGTCGACTGCATTATTAATAGAACCACGATAATTGGGCACAAATCCAAGAAAGCAAAAAAAAATCTCAATCTTTTTATTTTTTTAAAAACCTGCATTCGAATAAAAAATTATGCAATGAACTGTAAGAGTAGAAACACTAAACTTGATCTTAAATGAAAACTTCTGAATTTCTAAGATTAGCCATTATAACAATTCAATGAATCTTCTCATCTTCCAGATGTATTTGTGGCTTTTATGTCTCTGCGAACGTATCCTCAGCTGATGCCTAATAGAAATGAAAATTGTTACTCAGACAATTCATTCTCTTTCACAAAATATAGATCAGGTATGCATCAGTGTTAGAGAATAACATTTTTAAAAAAGCAAGAAAGACATAAAATAATAGAAACTTGATCTTAAGTAAAAAAAAACAAACAAACAAAACAATGTTGTATATAACCCATTTTTCATCACTTGTTATGACATATTTAAGGAATGGTTACTTAAGATGATACATTTGTCATTACAATTGGTACCTAAAAAACGAAAATTACTTAAAACAGAGAGAGGGGGGAGAGAGAGAGAGAGAAAGAGAGAAAAGAGAGAAGGAGAGAAAAAAAGGAGAGAGAAAAATAGAAGGAGAGAGAAAAGAGAGAAAAAAGAGGAGGAGAGAAAAAAGGAGAGAGAAAAAGAGAAGGAGAGAAAAAGGAGAGAGAAAAAGAGAAGGAGAGAAAAAAGCAAAGAAGAGAGAAAAAAGGAGAGAAGTGAGAGAAAGAGAAAAGAGCGAGAGAAAGAGAAAAGAGAGAAAGAGGAGAGAGAGAAAGACGCGAGAGAGAGGGAGAGAGAGAAAGACGCGAGAGAGAGGGAGAGAGAGAAAGACGCGAGAGAGAGGGAGAGAGAGAAAGCTGCGAAAGAGAGGGAGAGAGAGAAAGCTGCGAAAGAGAGGGAGAGAAAGACGCAAGAGAGAGTGTAAAATTATGCAGGTTTTGATGTGAAAATGTCTTCAATAAACTCTTGAATCTGTTTTTCATTGAAGCTGTCTTCCCCATGATATCATTTTCCAGTAATTGAACAAAGATAGTAATTGGTTGGTGCAAGGTCAGGTGAATATGAGCATTGGTGGGCAGATAGACTAAACCGAGTTCCAGATATGTTTTCCTATGCTATTCGTGGCCATGTGTTGCCATGGAAGAAAACAACATTTTCTTATTGAAGAGTGTACAGGGCATCTTTTATTCAAACTTTATTGGACACTTTGCAGCTGCTGAACTTATTAATGTGCATTTAATATTTCATTGAGCATTAAGAACTCTAAATGAATAATACCCTAATGATCCCACCACACACAACATTACCTTTCTTCTATAAAGTTCAACTTTTGCAATCGGTTGTGGAGATTTATCCTTGTTAGTCCCCTGCCTTTAATGTTGAACATTGTTGTATATAATTCATTTTTCATCACCTGTTATGACATACTTATGAAATGGTTAGTTAGGATGTTACATTCGTCATTATTGATTACTTATGACTCAACCTAAAAGTTCTATTGACCGACTGTAGCTGATTGTTTGATTTATTTTTTTTAAGGTTTATCAACCCTTTCAGAGTTATTTGAAACTAAAACATTTTGGATGATAAGAATAGTTCTTTTTTTTTTTTTTTTTTGCAAGTGAATGTTAGAATAATTTTTTAGAAGGTAACAATGATTATTCCAGATAAAAAATCCTACTAGTTAACCCATTGCTGGAAGGAGATGAGATGGATTCATTTCTTTCTCAAGAGTATTTGTGTGTAAGCGAATGTAATGAACTTGACTAGATTTTGAACTCAGCTACCTGATTTTTTATTCTGGATCACTATCCATTACACCACTCACAAATACTTACTCTAGTGTAACATGACTACAGTCTCAGAAGTTTGCTCATCACTGGGTGCTCAACACATGTGGCCTTGTGCCAGACTAAGTTTATTGGAAATGTAGAAAGACATAATTCCTGTATTGTTTTTCAAATGACACAATTATCTATGTCAGTTCACGCTACAATTGCTGCTGATATCATGTTTGGTTTGGTTTATTTTGTTTTACGGCATATCAACCTCAATGGGGTATTTAATGCCGACAAAATTTTTTATTACTGGTAATATTTTGTTCTGTCAAATATCTGTTTCTGGTAATATTTTTTGTTCAAAAAAGTATTGCTGGTAATAGTTAACTATTTGCCCATAGATTGGACCCTAACAGGTGCTACCACCTGGCTGATACCATGTAATCCAATGGTACCTGTCACATGGTCAGCAACTAAATCAATTCTCTCACCAGGCTTTTCTGGTGAGGGGGATCAACGGGATAGACTGGGCTCCATAGCTATATATATAGCCGGTGCAGTAATGACATAACGTTGCTGGTTGGAGGGCTTCCTAGTCTAGTCAGGGGCAAAATGGAATTAATGGACATGTGACCATGACCAAGGTGAGTCTTCAATTTTTTTTTTTTTTTAACCATGATGTTCACCTTGTAAAAATCCTGGAAAACTCTCAAGTTAGAGAATTACAGAGCAAAGGATGCATTTTATGTGAATAAGTGAGGAAAACAGTTAACCATAGACTTAAGAAGGTTAAGATTGCAGTGATTGGGAAAGTATCCTCTTGGGAGTCAGAGGATGTTGGTAGTTGTTTGACCTAGAGAGGGACGAGCTCTACCAAGTCACCTTGCTAAGGACGCTATGCATGAATGAATACCTCTCCAGTTTTTATCCAAGATGTGTGGTTTGATTTTTTTTTTTACAGGTTATCAACACTAAAGCCAAAACATATTTTGAATTCTAATTTTTTTTTTTTTTTTACAGGTTATCAACACTAAAGCCAAAACATATTTTTGAATTCTAATTTTTTTTTTTACAGGTTATCAACACTAAAGCCAAAACATATTTTGAATTCTAATTTTTTTTTTTTTTTTTTACAGGTTATCAACACTAAAGCCAAAACATATTTTGAATTCTAATTTTTTTTTTTTTTTTTACAGGTTATCAACACTAAAGCCAAAACATATTTTGAATTCTAATTTTTATTTTTTTTTTTTTTTTACAGGTTATCAACACTAAAGCCAAAACATATTTTGAATTCTAATTTTTTTTTTTTTACAGGTTATCAACACTAAAGCCAAAACATATTTTGAATTCTAATTTTTTTTTTTTTAAGTGAGTATTGCATTAACCCCTTCCCTGCCAATTATTTGGGGGAAAATGTTTCATTTTCAAACAAATCCTTTTACTTGTTTTTAATATAATAACTAAGAAACTGAGACACCTTTAAGTATCCAAGTGGGTGCTAACACCTCTACCAGATGTACGAGTTGACAACTGGGCTTATTTTCAAGCTCAGAAGGGCATAAAAATAATAATCAAGATCAATGTATAAACATGCCTGAAGCTGTTTTTTGAATATTATGTTTTGAACGTGTTTATTCGTCTGTGTATGAAAAAGACACTTTTGGTAAAAATGTATATACACGTCTATGCTGGGGAAGGGGTTAACAATTTTTGTGGGAGGTAACAATAATTTTTCCAAATACAAGTGGTACTATTTAACTCGTAATTGAAAGGAGACAAGACATTAGCACATATCCCAAAGGTATTTGCTAATAATTGAATGTAAAAAATTCAACTGGAATTTGAACTCAACTCTCTGACTTTGCATTCAATGATACTAACTATTATTAAACGACTCACACATTCCCTAGATATATAAAGGAAACTGTTCAGGTGCTCAATTGTGCAGTAACTATAACTACACCTGGTTTATGCAACTAGTGATGATGATGGTCAATAAAAATGCTTGAAACTGATGCACATATATAAAAACATGTTTTTTTTTTGTTCTCTCACTTGACAGGTGTAGAGATAAGCGAATACTTATAATGATCATTTTAGCACTTGAACACACATTTTGGCCCTGTACAGGTGCAGTGATTCCTGGTCAATATAAACAGACAAGTGCCAAAATCCCCCACCTGACCCCTTTCTGTTTCTCACTAACAATAACACATATCCTATATATCATCAACAATCCAATATATCATCAACATTTTTTTTTTTACAGTAAGGTTCACCCTGCACAAAACCTGGGTGGAGGGCACTTGGTGTAAAGGGTTATACTGGGAGTAGTTTATATGGCTAGGTGGGGAAGATAATGGTTGACCCTAGACTTGAACAGGTTAAGATTGTAATGACCCGGGGGGGGAGTGGGGGTAGAGTGGGGAATATCCCACTAGGAGTCTGTTCTATAGGGCAGTGGTTCACAGGAAGAAGCTGTTTGAGTGGAGCTTACTTCTCACCACTGGAATATGGTGGGAATGAGGGTTGTTTGTTACTATGTAAGTGGCATGGCAGGTCCTAGCCGTAAAGGTCAGACCTGGGTGGAACCAGGAGATACAGTTTTTGTGAGCACTTTCCATGGTTGTAGTGAGAGATCAGTGAGAGACTATTGGTGAGAGATTGGAGACATACAAAGACTAATCAGAAAGAAAGTATCAAAATGGTAGACTGATTCTAATGATACTTCTTTGGCAGGTACATGACAAGAGAGTAATCTATAAGATAGGTAACTTCAATGAACCATTCTGGGACTTTAAGCTTACAAGTCAAATTAATAGGAAACCATTGTGGGACTTTAAGCTTACAAGTCAAATTAATAGGTAACCATTGTGGGACTTTAAGCTTACAAGTCAAATTAATAGGTAACCATTGTGGGACTTTAAGCTTACAAGTCAAATTAATAGGTAACCATTGTGGGACTTTAAGCTTACAAGTCAAATTAATACAAAAATGTATTTTCTTCCTTACATCTGCAAAAAAGAAACACTGACAAATTTTAATATATTTTTTCCTTTCAAACTGTTTAACAATCTAAAAAGAATTATTTATTCTAGTCACTGTGGAATGTACATTGAAACTGATGCTTGGGAATAAATATCAGGTTTTGTAAGATTGGATGTGAGGGTGGTGTAATGGATAATGGCTC